CAGGGCTAGCCGCTAAGCACCAATGGATTCCCGTACAGAACCTCCCGTTCGCTGAAGTCGTCCTGTATGCCTACGCTGCAGATCGCACGCCCTGTCCCACATATGTATGCCTGCCGTCAGGATTGTACAAAGCGCGCAATGGACAGATTGTGGCGCAGACCGGCCCTGACCAGGAAATCATACCTCTGTCAGGCATGTACTTCTTCGATGGATGGCGGGTACACCCGACGCTACCAATCCCCAGCAACCTACCACGCACCAAAGAAGCGCCAGTCAGAGATATCACTCACGCCGCACCCTCAGCCAGTACGGAACCAACCCGGTCGCCAGAAGAAGAAGCGAGAGACATCCTTGCGACAGCCGCCAAGAATCAGGCGGAAGACGGGCCAAATACAAGGCGGGCAGCTGTCCGCGCATGTAAGTACCTAAGGGCCATGGTCAACCAATATGGTTCCACCATGCAAGAAGTGCATAAAGCGGCCCGCATCCACACACAAATGAGCAAGGGCACAGCAGGGCCAACCGCGCAATATCGCCCACAAGGAGGAGAGCTCCCAGTAATATCTCCGGAACTGACTTCTGAGCTATTACACTGCCTATCCACGCTACCCGACCCATGGCCCCTGGCCAAGATCACGATAGATATGGAGAAACCAAGCCAGTGGGTTTCCAAATTGTGCCGGCTCTACTTTGCTGACGAATATGCCAGACGCACAGTAGGAGCACCCTCGGCAGCACAAGTCCCAGACATCGAGACAGCACTCCAGGCGGTCCAGAAAATCCTCCCAAAGCTTGAGGCAAGAATGATTGAATTCCTGGCTGAATGGCTAGTCACCTTCCTGATACCAGCAATGCACGTATTGGAAGTGAGGGCACCTCATCTTTCCTTTATGTTCCTCAAAGAATACTGGTTTCGAGAACTATACCTCGGCTTGAAGGTCACGGCATCGTTTGACCGATCTGAATCGTATACGCGAGTCATAGATGGCCAAGTTAGATGCATCACCCCAGAAATTAAGCCGCAGAACCTACAGGTCATCTGGAACGTTCAGTTTATCACTGTTTTTGTGCCCGCATGGATGATCCCTCCTGTCTACCACAGCCTGCGCAGGGAAAGCATCAAGAACGCGAGTTCCGCCAGTGCAATAGGTGTCCATGCAGTCTGTCCGCCCCACCTGGTTCGAAGACTTCGCAGTGCCCAAAGGACCTGCACCTCAAACGGACCAAGGGCAGCCCCAGCCGCTGCGTGGCCTTAAACTGGTTATTAAAGAAGAGGCGCTACCGCTGAAAGAACAACCAGAATTCCCAGCACTAGCGTTACTGGCTTCACGTGGCTTGCTCGCGCCGGACGCATGGAAATGCAAACGAGCGCAGATTAGCCTTAAGGCAACAATTGATGTCCCAATGCTAGGCACGATCATCGAACAAAATGGCGATGGGCTTCTGGAGGATTCCCACATGCCAGTGGGATGGCCGTTACACATTGATGGTGCCGTCCGGCAATGTTGTATTCATCGATCTGCAACCCTACAAGAGCTCGACGACATGTTAGGAGAATACGACATGAAAAGAGATTCAGTAGAAATAAATCACAGAGCACCCCAATGGTCTCACAACGCAGTGTGGAACCGAAAATACATGGAACCAAAGACAGGATACACACTGCGGCAACTTTGGGCTGACTCCGAGCCGGCCATTGGGCAGAAATCATCCCCGTCTTATGAAGTAAAAGATAGTGACATTCGCTGAGCAGTAGCCGCTATCGCAGACCTGCCGTCCTCCACGCTGCCTGACAGTCCCTTCATCCTCGCATTGGGGACGCCAGCAGCCCAAAATGTCCCACCACAAACTGGCACCTTGGCACAGAGAGCCCTAGAGGAATGGGAACGCACCCTGTGCGAAAACAAGGCAGTTGCGATCCTTGAACAGATGCAAGCCGGCCGCCCGGCCCTCATCCAAAAAGATGGCGGCGAAATGCTTATTGCCATTGTCCTTGACAGGCCACTCGCGGACGCCAAGGCATTAGTGGACGACCCTGCCGCGTTCACTCAAGAAATGACCAGGATTCTGCTCGAAAAGCAAAGTCATCCATTTATTGCACAAATGATCAAGCCAGCAGGAAGTAGTGACCCACCTCCCCCAAACAGTGCAGCCGGTAGCTCCGGCAGCCATGAACACCCCAGCGCCGGTACACCCGTGCAGTTCCAGTAATCGCAAGCGGTTAACGTGGGGTACCCACGGTTGCCACCTACTACGTCGTGACCACTGTGCAATACAGGTGCTGTCACCATGGGGTTCCCATGGTTGACTAGTGCTTCTCTGACCCAGGACACCCCCTATACTTTAGGCAACTGACCTCGTAGGAAGCCTGCCAGAGTAAGGGGAGGGAGGAAAGGGGAGGGGGGCCCTCGTAACAATCTAGCGGGGCAATTAATTTTACCTAGTAACTGGTAGCATAGGACGATGTCAAAGTACATCAAGCCACGGCGCCCGTTGCTGTTTTGCTCAGCCTGCTAACCCACTGCGTCTACTACTCAAGTGCCATCGGGCCATATAAATACAGCTCAACCGAGCGAACTGGCATGCTTGCCTCAAGAACTCCAGAGTCATAATGATGCACAAGATCTTCTCCTCCTACAAGACTATGTTTGCAAACTGTCGCATACCCAGCGGACACTGGAAGCCACTTATGCCTCATTGCAGCAAACAGAACTCCTTGCAGGCGTAGTCAATGAACAAGATTGCAGAGCCATACGCACGGCTTGCTGTTGCCTAAACAGCTTGCGCATCCGTGTTGAAGCCCGATCTAATGTGACAGAACGTGCAGTTATAAGCCGACAGCTACAGCTTATGCAAGCGAGTGTTCGACCCCACCCTACAGAGAACCTCAACACAGCTGACACAAGTTGCCCGTCCAGAACCTCTGCTGAACATTTCGATGATAAAACTGGTCCCTGTTAAAAGAATTGAACGCTACAGAAGATCTTCGCACTGCTGACACAAGCTGCCTTTCCAGAACCCCTGCCGCGCATTTCATTTCAACCAATAGCTCTTGCTGAAGGAGCTCCACGCTTGCAAGCCTGCATCAATGCTGTCGAGCTAGCGATCATCGCTAACTCGATCGCATTGGATACAGTTTTGAAAGCAGCATGCACCACAAGAGCACTTTGCGGCTCCCATGACGATGATGCTTGGAAAAGAACTACTGAGCGGACTCTGAGTGCGCCCTGAATGCCGTAGCTACTGCTGTCATTCTCACATTAGACCATGTCTCACCTCCTGTTTCACCTTTTATTCGTTTTTCACCACTCTCGTTGCGACACGGCGTCGTCGTTTTTTGCTTCGAAGTGCCTGGGTGAACGTTATGCCTGAATGGCTGCTCTCTGTGATCTCTGGGATCCTGGCTGGGGGGATCCCCGGTTTCCGCAGTGAGCTTTTTTGCTTCTCTCACCCCTTTTCATGGCCCCTTAGTGTTGTTCCGTGTTGTCTTCGTTTTGCTTCATTTTCGGTGGCCATACTCATGATGACACACAAGATGTCATCGTGCTTCTCTTTTCTCAGAGCTGGTAGCGATCCCACTTCTGTGTTTTTTGGTTTTGGTTTTGTTGTGGTTTTGTGTGTTTTGTCTGTTTGTTTGTTTTTTTTGGTTTTGTGTTTTGTTTTGATGGGACCGCTCACTGGACTGTGTACAGGTCCATTACCAGCACTTTTGAGGCTCTCGACGTGTAGACGGCCTTGCATGATTCACAATTCATCTTTTTGCTGCGGTTGAACGTGTGTAACGACCTGGCGAAAGCCATGAAGGCGTTGGACGGAAAAAAAATGAGAAGCAAGAGTGGCAACTGCTTCTTGATGGTCCATGTTGATGACCTTCTCATCGTCGGCCGCCGAGACGCCGTGATGAAACAGCTTGTGCCTGCACTGCAATCGAAGTATGCAATCTCCATTGAACTCATGTCGAAGCCCGGAGATGAGGTCACTTTTCTCAAGCGCACCCATGAACTGTTGGAAGATGGCAGGATGGTGATTCGAGTGCGCCACAAGCACCTCGATCAGCTGTGCAAGCTTTTGTGTCTCTCAAAGAGACTTCAGAGCAAGAAGACCCCGGGTCACAGCGAGATGGAGATCCCAGACAAGTCTCAAGAACTTGGATCTCATGATGCTTCAGTGTACCGCACTTGCGTGGGGATTCTTCTTTACTTGTCAGCTGACCTGCCACAATGTCAGTATGTGATTCGATATCTATCCACTTTCTCTTCGAAGCCAACTGAGAAATCCCTGATGGTGTTGAAACACCTGGTTGGCTACATGGCAGCACTCTCCGAGCAGTGTATGTCTTTGAAATGGAAAGGTTTGCATGCTGGTGTTTTCAAGCAGTACGAGAACGAGGAGCCAATGGTGGAAATTTTCAGCGATGCTGACTGGGCAGCCGACAGGGAGACAAGACGCTCTGTCTCAGGAGCTGCAATTTAGTTGGTGGATGTTTCGCCTATTCAAGCTCCAGGACACAGAAAATCGTGTCACTTTTGAGCGCAGAGTCAGAAACATATGCAGCTGCGTCAGCCACCATGGATGCGATCTTGATCACAACCATCTTTTCATGGCTTCTCCAATGTCACTTCATGATGTGTTTGTATCTGGATTCATCAGCAGCAAGAGGTGTTCTTTCTCGCAAAGGTGTAGGTCGTTTGAGGCATTTGTCATGCAGGATCTTGTGGATGCAGGACTTGGTCATGGAAAAGCGTTTACTGGTGAGAGCAGTGATGGGAGCACTCAACCCTGCAGACATTGCCACAAAGAGACTCAGCGCAGCAAGGCTCGAATCGTTGTGTTATTTTTTGGGTATTTGGAGAGGAAACAATCTCGAAGGATCACATGACCCAGGAAACATTTTCAGGCATCTCACAAATCAACGACAACAGGGCCACAGCCAGGCACAGATCAACCTTTTGATTAGCGCCTTGAGCGTGCTTACTCAGCTTCAAGGGTGTTCTGACGCCATGGATTCTTTGGCAACTGGAGGATGCTTCTTCAATGCCGTGTTTTTGTTCACATGGCTGCTGGGTTTGATTGGCTACATTTACCTGGCCATCCGCCCTGGTGAACTCCTGAAGAATTTTGATTTTGTGAGCGATGCTGAAACTTCGAGCACTGGTGCTGTAGAGGATCCAATTGACAACAGCTCGAATAGCGATGCCTCTGATCATCCAGCTTGGTCCGAAGAAGGTATGGTTCATTGGCTGTATGACCGATGTGAGAGGAGGCTGCAAAAGGCTGTTACAAAACAGGATCCCACGAAGACAAATCAGTACTTGGCCCGACAGGGTATTCTGAGTGACATGCTGGCTGCTTTGGAGGTAGCCACAGCAGAAACCAGGGGCCACATTCAACAGGTCCTTGAGGACATCACGGATTTGTCAAGTGATGAGGACTCACCCACTATGAACACTGGTGGCCATGACATAGCTCTGAATTCTGGAGTCCCAACGGGTATTGCCACAGCTTTTGTGCATGGAGTAGCTGGTATGAGCCTTTGTGGATGCGACATCGGCGACATCGAAATCTCCAACAACAGCAGTGTGATCCCTTTCACAACTCTGGTTTTGACTGCATGGTCCTGGCACTTGGTGGATACACATGGTACTGGTTGAGACAGCCTGTGAGGCCAGTGTTTTTCCCGCCAACGACTCTGGCGACTCATGCAGCAGATCCTGAACCTCAGGTCAATGAGGACTTGCAGCTTGAAGGGAGTTTGCTGGTTGCCCTGCGGAGGATCAACGGTCGTCTGGAGAGAGCACAGCGAAGAGGCAACATTGGGCAAGGCATGAAACACATGCAGAATCGAACATGGTTGCTGAGCTGTGTGGCTCACTATGCCAGCTGCAGCCCTCAGGAGCGGCTGCGCATGGCTGAGGTGATTGCAGACACCTGCAACCTCAGTGAGGACGACGAGTCCCCGCAGCATGCCTTATAGGCCGACAAGGCCTTTCGGGCCATCATGACCCTCCCCGAGTACGACCAGTTCGAGGAGGTGACAAAGCTGATCGGACAGCTTGGAGGAGCACTTCGTGAAGTGAAGCCGGAAAGCTCCAAGTCTGACGAGGAGATGGCTGAAGAAACTCCAGCAGAGAAAACACAAAGGTATATGAACTGTGGGCAATCTGAAGCCTCGGACCCGGACCTCTGGGCAGATGTTCACTACGGCCCGAGGAATCGCCGAGATGACACAGAACCCGGTGATGGAACGGGATTGCAGGAATTCTGAGTGGCAGCAATGAGATGGCACCACAGAAGAATGTCGCATGGTGGGAAGCAGACCCATCAGGTGGCATCAGTGCCGGTAGTTTGAAACAAAACAGTCTTTCCCCTTTAGACAAGCTCCAAAAATGGAGAACTGATGGTCACACAACTGACCTGCGGAGCTGTAGCCATAGTGGAACTCCAAAATATTTGGGTCCCAAGGCGGGGTGAAAGATACTTCCGCATTTGGATTCATGTACATGTACACATCAGTTGTGTAGCTGTGCAGATGACATTGCACAAATCGAGTAGTGCATTTCAGGTTGTGCTCTGAGGCGCTTTCGGTTCCAGAAAAGTTCGCACAATCTGACCTCACATTGCATACTTTTGAACACCGGGTTGACATGTATATGCTGTCGCCATTTGGATCTTAGGGCCCTTGAGCCCTGCCGCTATCGCAGGAAAGTGCGGGCTGCCGACGATTCCGTGCCCAATTCACACTTGTGATGCAGTGATTTTTGATGATCTTTGTGATATTGGTCTAGGCATCGGAGCAGCGGCTTACAGAGACAAAGGAATCATTAGCCATGAAACTGGAAAACAACAACATTGCCCTTAACACTTGTAAACGCGTCAAAACCCAAGCGGAGGCGACGTGCAAACGGCTGAAATTCCTATCGTGTTTTGGTTTTTGTTTTCATGTTCACTGTTTTTCCTCATGATTGCTGTGAAATTTGATGTAATTTAATAACGCCAGGGTGAACTGACAACTTCAAAGGCCTCCGTCCAAGCCCTTGAGGAAAAACTGAACAGAATTGTTGCACTCCTACATGTGTTCATTTCATGTCCACGTACAGTTGCACTGCAGTTGATTCATGTCAAAGGACATTTCACTTTCAGCTGCATAGCATGTTTAGGAGCGTTGTGAAATAGATGGATTCCTCAGGCGTCTTTGCATCAAGGAAAATGCTCATGGTAGCGGAGCCCTGTGATCCAGATCCTTTATTCTGGTGAGGGCACCTGAAGCTACCTTGGACTAGGAAACTTCCGTTGCCGTTTAGTTGAGCCATTTGGGTTCTGGTTGCATAGCCTTGCTTGGAGCATGGCTGGTGAAGGTGGCGCGTTGGACGTGGCCCAGCTGATACAAGCAGCTACAGACGCTGCTCGTGCTGCTGCTGATGCGGCTGCAGCCTTGAGAGATGTTCAGGCTAGTCGTGGAACTGGTTTGAGTGGAAAGGGGTTTAGTGAAGCCTCAAAAGTCATTAGACAACCTGACCCGTTTGGTTCTGAAAACCACGAAGAAGATCTTAGCAAGTGGCAAGACTTCACAGTGAACTTCAAAGCTTGGTTGTTCTATGGTGATAGTGGTTTTGAAAGTGACCTTCATAGAGTCGAGACCAACTATGCCTCAACTCCAATAGAGTTTCCTAGATCCGAGCCCAATGACGTTCAAGAAAGATGCAAGCAGCTTTTCAACATCCTTACGGGGATACTTCGTGGCAAGCCGTTGCGGCTACTGCGCCAAACTTCTGAGAGAAATAGTTTCGAGGTTTGGAGAAAGTTGGTATTTTCTGGTTGGCAAGTTGTGTGGTTGCTGGTGATGAGTGGCTTGCGTGATTTTGTTTTGAGTTGGTGCAACTCTTTTCACCAAAGACCAAAAGCAGGTCGATTTCCTTGCTTGCTGCGTTGATGAATATTCCAGCCTTCAGCCTGAAGGACAAAACCCTGATGGACCAGATCTTAGGCCTTGAACGCTTGAGAACTGAATATATGAGATCTTCTGGAACTGATGTGGCTGATGACCTGATGTTGAGCATCCTGGTCAAGTCGTTGCCAAAGGCATTGCAGACCCACATTCAGCTGCAGATGACAGAGCACTCAACGTATGCCCAGGTCAGGGAACTTGTCCTCAGCTACGAGTCAGTGACGACTACATGGAGCGCTGGTCGAATTCATAGTGAACTTGGCATTTTGCCATCCAGCTCTACGGCTTCTTCTCCTGCCTACAATGGCCCTGCCCCCATGGAAATTGACCGGTTTGAGAAAGGCAAGAAGGGCAAAGGCAAGGGAAAGCACAAAAGTAAAGACTCTTCGTTTTCCAAAGGAAAGACTAAGGGTAAGTTTGACAAAGGTAAGGGAAAGAGCAAACAAGATGCTTCAAAGCCACGTGCGGCTACCTCAAGTGATCAGTGTTTACATTTTGGTAAATATGGGCATTTCAAAAGAGACTGTTGGAAGTTGCATGGGAAGCCCACCAATACAAAGAATGTGAATCAAGTTGAAGAGACGCAAAACGCTGGAAGCTCTAGCAGTGGTGCTTCTTCAAGCGCTGCCTCAACAACCATGACCTCAGCTACTGGCTCTGTGCGTTTGCTTTCTTCATATGTTGGCCCCATCGTCGAAGAACTTCCCAGCGGTGATGAGCTTGACTTCCGTGACCTTACAATGTATGACAGCTCTGGCCATTGCAATGTTGTTTCATGTACTGAAATTTCACCCGTAGATGACTTGAACCATGTCGAGGAAGCATACATGTGCGCTTGTACTCACTTTGACATGTCATGCACTGATGATGATGGTATTTGGACGTTTTGTGACAGTTATTGCATTGACCTTTCACCTGCCAGCCATTCTTCTTTCGACTGCATTCGAGCTGTCGGCAATTTGACTGACGGCAGCGTGGAGGTGGTGATTGACTCGGGAGCTGATGGTTCAGTTCTGCCCTTAGAATATGCTGCAATAGGTCACAAAGATCCAACCTTTGATAAATCTTCTTCTTTCATTGATGCTCAGGGCAAGCCAATATCAGTGAGGGAAGCTCGAATAGCTGAAGTGCAGTTTGGTTCAGTCGTTTTCAAAGAGCGGTTTATCATAGCGCCAGTTACTTCACCACTTGTTTCAATGGGTCGTCTTCTCAGAGATGGATGGTGTCTTCAGAATTCTGGTGATTCAATGTTTCTGGTGAGAAATGGCAAGAACATTCCAGTCCACTTCAAGCGTAATTCTTTGTGTGCGCATGGTGTTATCAGAATGTTGAGCAACATGGATAGCAGTCCAGTTGAACATGCCAGGGCAGTTGTTTTGGGCGAAAGCCTTGCTGGTTTACAACGTGGATGGATAAGGCTGAGTGATTCTGTTTATGGTTTGAGAAGCGTGTCACCACAGCATGTTGACACGACATATTGCCCCAGTGAGTCATTGATGTGGCTTAGAACAACGTTGGTGCGTTTTGCAGATGGCACCTGGGAACTGGAGGAATTTTCTCAGAGCATTTCAGACCTTTCTTCACGTGTTATTCCTTTTCAAACTGCAAAACCGGTTGTGGAGGTGATCACACTTGCGCATGATGCCATGGTACCACCAGAGGCTTTGGGTTTCAGTGTTCATGATGATGTGGTGATGCCAGCAAACTTTCCATTGAGATCATCCTCACAATCCCATTCTTCTTCCTCTGCATCAGCGCCTTCTGCTGCGGCCCCTGTCAGGCCCAATGTGGAGCCACCAGATGAGTTGCCAGCGGCTGCAGAAGAAGCTGAGTTACCAGTTGCAGAGAGACCAGATGTGGACTACAAGTCTGTGATGGTTGATGGTGTCAAGCTAGATAGCAATACTCCCCTGCGTACTTTGAGAGGTGCTTGTGAAAGCCTTGGACTCTCCAAAACTGGTGGAAAGGCAGTATGTTTGGAGCGTTTGTGGAAACATTTAGAAAGTCAAGAGCTTATTGCTGCTCATTCTGCACACCGTGATTTGCGAGGTGATGTTTCCAGACCTGTCCATGGACAACCAGTCCCTGCAGAACCAAGTGACGCTGAGAAGGCAGAGCACTATCTCACGCACTATCCCTTTGCCAAGTGGTGTGAACTTTGTGTTGCAAATGGATCACAACAAGATGGTCATTCTGAACAACATCACACTGAAACTGCACATAGCTGTATTTCTTTTGATTTTGGTTATGCAAGTCGAAGGGATGATGATGACAAGTTGTGCGCTTTATTTATTCATGACAGGAGTTCAGGGGCTATGCATGTGGTACCAACGCCACAAAAGGGAGGCCGATACCTCAACTATTTGTGCACTGAATTTTGTCGTTTCATTGTTTGGTGTGGCAATGATACAATAGCACTCAAATGTGATCAAGAACCTTCAACACTTTCACTTCTTGAGGCCGTGAAGAAAACATGTAGATGTTTGGGGATCAGAGTTTTGACTGAAACGGTTGGACCCTCAAGTCATGCTTCAAATGGTGCTGCAGAAGTTACAGTAAAACTGGTAAGACAACAAGCCAATTTACTCATTCAGCAGATCGAACAAGGTGTTGGCATAACTGATGTGATTGGATGCCAGCATCCACTCTATGCATGGGCCCTACTTCATGCGTGTTTTCTGCACAATCGGTATGTAGTTCGTCAAGGTCATACTGCTTATGAGTTGTGTGCTGACCGAGCATACACAGGACGTTTGGCTATGTTTGGAGAAACCGTTTTGGGTTTCCTGAAACAGACACACAAGGGTGCACCTCAGTGGACCAAAGGCGTGTGGTTGGGAAAGACTTTGAGCAATGACGTTCACATCATTGCCATACCTGGTGCTCAGCAGTTGTTTGTCACAAGAAGCGTTAGACGCTTGCCTGCCTCAAAGGCATGGAATGGAGAGATGATTGGAGGTGTTGAGGCGTGTCCATGGCAGTTTAGTTATGCCTCTTTAGGCTCTCAACTTGTCCTTGCAAAACGTATAGCTCCTCCTACTGCATCTCCTTTGACTCCTGCACCAGTGAGAGACTTTGATGCTGAGGCAGTTATGAACTTGCCTCCAACACCAGATGAAAGACCACATGTACCACGTTTGGTTGCGCCACCACAAAGTGCTGTTGTGGCAGGTGATACAGTTGGTGATGAAACTATGGAAGTGACAGCTGAGGCGGGGGGTTCAACAGCGCTTGGAGCAGCTGTTCCACAAACCCCACATGACGTTCAACAAAGTGATCCTGCTTCAGGTTCATCTCTGGGAGATGCGCCTTTGGGAGCAGAGACGTCAGCTGTTGTCCACCCTAGAGATGGTGGAGATGAGTCAGAAAGACCTTCAAAGCACCAACGTATACTTGCTGTTTTTGAACACGAGGACCAGCCAAATGAAACGCAGTTCGACAGTGAGGACCTTGATGCGCTTGAGTCCTATGACTTTGACTTGGATGAAACTGATGACTCTAGTCATACTGATGCAGAACTTCTGGAACAGTTGTGTCTTCCTTTCTCTACTTTGGAACCTTCTCTTCCTGACCATGAGTTGTTGCGGTTGGACCTTATTGCAGACCAGTTAGAAATCAAGCGTCTCAGGAACATGGGAGTTTTGATCCCTGCCAATGAGTTTGACTTCAAGGGTGAGACGCCCAAAATGTTGACCACTAGGATGGTAAGAACTTGGCGTGACAAGACTTCGAATGGTCAAAGAGTTTGGCTTAGGAGATCAAGGTATGTTGCACGAGAGTTCGCATGGCTATCTCCAGATCGTCAAGATCTTTTCAGCCCAGCTTCTTCAGTTTTGACTGTTAGGTTGTTGCCGTGCCTCTACATGAAATGGAAACCTATGGGTTACGTGCTATGCTCAATCGACATTGGTGATGCCTTCCTTACTGTGGAGCAAAAGGAATTGACAGAAGTTGTTTGTGTTGATGCCGCAGGTGCTTCAACCACGTACGTCTTGGGACGTGTTCTACCTGGACAACGGAATGGCTCTCAGATGTGGCATGAGTCTTTTAGCAGATTCTTGCAGACCGAGCTGAAGATCTATGAGTGTGAGCCGTACCCATGCTTGCTGAAGTCACCCAATGCTGAGTGTGCTCTACTACTTCATGTTGATGATGTTTTATGTCTTGCACACCATGAATACTTGCGTAATGTGTTGGAAGCTGCGTTGAGAAAGAGATACAAAATCTCTTTGGAGGTACTTGAAAAGCCTGGAGATGAGTTGACCTTCTTGAAAAGGAGGCACATGCTTTTGAGTGAACGTGAGTTGGCTATTCAAAGCCATCCCAAACATTTGGAAAAGCTTTTTGAGATGATGAAAATCAACAAAGGCCTGAAGCCGAAACAAGTGCCAGTCCACCAATTGCTGGATGAGCCAGAAGAAACAGAGGAATTGCCCCCGGACAAGACCAAGACTTTTAGGTCGTGCATTGGCATCTTGCTCTACATTGCCAGTGATTTTGTCGAGTGCCAGTACGCAATCAGAGGGTTAGCACAGGTGATGTCAAAACCAACTGTGCAGGCCTTCATATGCCTGCGCCACCTTTGCCTGTACCTCTTGGGTTGTGTCGACCAATGCACTGTGATGACCTACAGTGACCACCAAGGACTGTTGCATTACACGCCAACTGAGTACACCATGGAAGTTTATTCAGACTCAGATTGGGCAAAACACAGAAGTACACGTAAGAGCGTTTCTTCAGGTCACATATGTCTCTTTGGCAACCTCTTGTACTCCAGCTCGAGGACCCAGAAAACGATAGCACTGTCTTCAGCAGAAGCGGAAATCTATGCCGGTGTTTCAGCATGTTGTGATGGAAAACTTATGCAAGCCTGCATCCAATTTTTGTTGGATGATGGCATCAAGGTGGAGTTCACGCTGAACTTGGACAACTCTGCTGCCAAGGCCTTCTTCTTTCGCTCAGGCGTTGGGCGAATCAGACATATCAGTGTTAGAGTTCTTTGGTTACAACGCGAAATCAAACTTGGTTTGATTGCCCCTTCAACAGTGTCAACACGAGACAACACTGCAGACCTTGGGACCAAAAGACTGAATAGGGACAGAATGCGATATCTCATGAACCTTTGCAAAGTATATGATTTATCACAATCTACATATGTTGGACAAGAAACAGTTGACAAGGTCCACCAAGCGGAAGCCATGTCAGAAGGTATCAGGTTACTCAGAAACAATGGTTTGAAGACTGGTGCGGCCAAGTCAATTATGCGAGTTCTTTTGCTTGGCGCCTTGGGTCTGCCCTGTGAAGCTATGAGCTCAGCTTCCATTGGGAATGGTGGCTATGGAACTTTCGCTACCTTTGCAGTTTATGTGACAGTCATCTGTCTGGTCGCTGGTATTTCTTTTTACCTTGGGACACAGTTTGACTTGCTGAAGGACGAATATAGGCGTCTTGTGGTCAGCCAGAACCTCAAGAAAGTTTTGAAGTTACTCAAGCGTGCGCAGTCGCGCATGACAGGAAACCAAGAGACTGATGAGAGCGAGTCTGTTGGAGAAAATGATGAAGAAGAAATGATTGAGACGGATGCAGAAGTCGAGGCCAGATACAAATCATCAGAGCTTTGTGAAGTTTCAGATCCTGAACTGTGGATGCACTTCAATCATGGTGAATCCCCTCTCTCCTCTTCCAATGCTTCTGAGGATCAACCTACTGGCCACAGTGAAGCTTCTTTGCACCAGCAAATGGCCGAGACGAATGCTTTGCTTCTTGCTCGAGAACAAAGACTTGAAGCTGAGTGGGATGAAGCTGAGTTGCGCAATGATCGAGAGACTATGCATGAGATCGAAAACATGATCATCGAGACCCGCAACTTGCGCTACAGCATTTAGTGGCGATGCAATCAAAGCATGAGTCTTGCAAAATGCCATGACATTCCTTCAGAACTTGTCAATCTACCTTGGATGACTGAGTTAGACCGTTTAGAGTTTTTGTAAAGTACAATTGAGGAAATTTGGATGAACCAGCCCGTTGCAATATGGCTTTGTAGACAGCCATTGGTTCATTTCAATTCAATTCACTTTCAGTTCTTCACTAAAGCTTGAACTGAGGCGGGGTGAACAGAATTGTTGCACTCCTACATGTGTTCATTTCATGTCCACGTACAGTTGCACTGCAGTTGATTCATGTCAAAGGACATTTCACTTTCAGCTGCATAGCATGTTTAGGAGCGTTGTGAAATAGATGGATTCCTCAGGCGTCTTTGCATCAAGGAAAATGTTCAAAAACTCCAGCATCAGAAGGGCCAGGGCAATCTTGGAGAGGGACGCCTTGGATCACTCACACAGATGAACATTGATTGCTGCCACACCAGAAATCCAATTAGGTTATGACAGGCCACAGCGACTGCAGCATGAACTTGAGTTTTTCTGGTTCTTATATGAACTCTTCCCGTTCTGAAGTTCTCTTGTGAGGAGACCTCAGGCAAGGAGTTGGAGACTTTGAAAGCTGCTTCTAGCTCGTTGCGGGCATCAAAAACTGCTTGAAAGCAGAACGCAAGCAGCAGAAGGATTTGGTAGCTTCACTTGAAAAACAATTCCAAAAACAAAAACACTTAACAGATGCAAAATCCAAGGCTGATGTTAAAATAAAACTTCAAGAACCGCAGGCGTCAGAGCTGGCTTTGAGAAACGAACTTGAGGCAAAAATGACGGTGGAACCAGAGTCAAAGGCTGATGTCTCGACTGACGTAGCTGAGAGGAACAGGAAAAGGACAGATGCGGAATTGCCAACACCTTTCCTTCGTGCGTACCACTTGTCCCCCACTTCTTTCCCACTTGTCTCCCACTTGTTTCCCACCTGTCTTCTACTTGTCTCCCGCTTGTTTCCCTATTGCGTCCCAGTTGTCTCCTACTTGTCTCCCACTTTTTCTCCGCTTGTCGCCCGCTTTTTAGCACTTGTCTCCCACTTGTCCCCCACTTGTTCCCAACAGCAGGAAGTTGTTGGGTTTCAATCTTTACTCATTGTGTAGCAGTTCCCCCCTCTTCTGGCATGCGCAGGGTTCCGCGAACCTCGGAACTTTGTCTCCCACTGTGTCTCCCATTGTGTGTTTCCAATTTTTTTTTCAGGTGTCACCCACCAGGAACATTGGAACCTTGTTTGCTACTGTGTCTTCCACTTGTCTCCAAACTTGTTTGCCACTGTGTTTCGCATTGTGTCTCCCACCTTGTCTCCCACTTGTCTGTCAGCTAGTCTCCCACCGTGTGTTGCACCGTGTCTCCCACACAGAACCTTGGAACCTCTTCTGCCGCTTTGTCTCCCAGCTTGTCTCCCACTGTATGTCGCACTGTGTCTCGGAACATTTTTTTTTGTGAACAGCAACCCAACAATGGCTGACCAAAAGAGTTGGTCTACACTCATTCGACTTGATTGCTATTCCAAAATTGTGGTAAAAACATAGCATGGAACCATGAGTTTGCAAGCGAAAACCGGAGTTTTCTCCATTTGCGGAAGGAACCACATCATCGTGATCTCAACATTCCGCTTGGCATGTTTCTGCGTTCGAATGTCCAGTGAACCCAGGGATACCGCCGGTGTTGAGTTCTGTTTTTTTTTTGCGTGTCACATGACATTTTTCCTGCACCACAAAGGGGTTTCTCCGACCGCACCTTGCTACACACTTTGATTCAAACCCCTTTTCTGAGTTTATCGTAGCTGAAAAGAGGAATTCACAAAACTAGCAGTGACAAGCAGTCCTCCAAATTGTCTCACAAGTGTTCCACAGCTGGTGGTGAACTTGCCAGGGTCGCGGACCAGTTCGGAATGGACTCACTTCGAAAACCTGCGGAAGAACTTTAAAAAAGGAACGCGAAATCAACAAATTGCATCTTCTGAACTGTTGTTTTGCATGACTTGAGACATCTTGAGACAACACTATTGCAGCTACTTTAGAAGGGTTCGTTCGAGCTGTTGTAGTTTTCGAGTGATCGAAAAGCATGGCCTGAGTGCCACGACCAGGGTTCAAACTGTGGCTGACCATAGGAAGTTGGGTATATCTGTGTCATTCTGTGTCAAGGATGGTAGATGAGTGCTGCGCAAGAGCATTCCAAGCGAGTCTTTAAGGATATGCAAGGATCATTATATAATATATCTTAATCAATTTTTAAAGAGTGTTTTGGCAGGGAACCCTCCAAATGTCTGGACCGATTGTTACCTTCATGTCCTTGCATTTTCAGAAGTAAAACCGTCATGGTTTACTGTATTTAGTTTGATATGCACTTAGGCTCAAAACATTTGAACAACAAATATATTGAAACATGCAATCATGAATTTATCATTTTTGGATATTTTTGGTGTTTCCAAACATATTTCCAGAGCAGGCTTTCGACCGATGTTTTGCTGACATCCATCTGATGGCCAACATGAGAACGAAGGACAATGCTGGGGAAAACTCTGGGATGTGCTGAACATGTCTGGTTGGAACTTGGGTCGGGACCCGCAAAAAATGATTCCTTGTTTTGGATGATATGCTCATTCATTACGAAAGCCAGCCAGGAAGCTGGTTAGTTGTTATTTGCGAACGAAGTGAGAATAGGGGGTCTGGGGGGGTGTAGGTGTCTCAAGGGACCCAAAACATTGTAAATAGGTGGTGTTTTAGGCGCGCAAAAAGTATGGTTTTTCAGGGTACTGTACCATGCGGCAAAACAGTGACGGTGGGTATCGATTCCCCCTAGGTCCGGTTTTCTTGGGTGAAAAGTCTGTGCAAGAAGAGTTTCTGGGTGAAGAGTCTCTGGGTGAAAAGTATATGGGTGAAAAGTATATGGGGGAAAAGTCTGTGGGAGAGAAGTATATGGTTGATCCGTTTGTGGGTGAAAAGTATATGGGTGAAAAGTATGTGCAAGAAGAGTTTCTGGGTGAAGAGTCTCTGGGTAAAAAGGATGTGCAAGAAGAGTTTCTGGGTGAAGAGTCTCTGGGTGAAAAGTATATAGGTGAAAAGTATGTGCAAGAAGAGTTTCTCGGTGAAGAGCTTCTGGGTGAAAAGGTGAAACGTATATGGGTGAAAAGTATGTGCAAGAAGAGTTTCTGGGTGAAGAGTTTCTGGGTAAAAAGTATGTGCAAGAAGAGTTTCTGGGTGAAGAGTCTCTGGGTGAAAAGTATATACATAGGTGAAAAGTATGTGCAAGAAGAGTTTCTGGGTGAAGAGGTTCTTGGTGAAAAGTCTGAGGGGGTGAAAAGTCTGTGCAAGAAGAGTTTCTGGGTGAAGAGTCTCTGGGTGAAAAGTATATTGGTGAAAAGTATGTGCAAGAAGAGTTTCTGGGTGAAGAGTCTCTGGGTGAAAAGTATATGGTTGAAAAGTATATGGTGAAAAGTATGTGCAAGAAGAGTTCTGGGTGATAGAGTCTCTGGGTGAACGTCTGTGCAAGAAGAGTTCTGGGGAAGAGTTTCTGGGTGAAAAAGTAATATAGGTGAAAAGTATGTGCAAGAAGAGTTTGTGGGTGAAAAGAGTCTATTGGTTGAAGAGTCGATGGGTGGTTGAAAAAGTATATGGGTTGGTGAATGAAAGTCCTGGGCAAGAAGAGTTTGCTGGGTGAAAGTAAATGGTGAAAATGGAAAAGGATGTGCAAAAAGAGTTCGTTTGAAAAAGTATGTGCAAGAAAAGTTTCTGGGTGAAGAGTCTCTAGGTGAAAAGTATATGGGTGAAAAGTATGTGCAAGAAGAGTTTCTGGGTGAAGAGTCTCTGGGTGAAAAGTCTGTGCAAGAAGAGTTTTTGGGTGACGAGTCTCTGGGTGAAAAGTATATGGGTGAAAAATATGTGCAAGAAGAGTTTCTGGTTGAAGAGTCTCTGGGTGAAAAAGTGTATGGGTGAAAAGTAGGTGCAAGAAGAGTTTCTGGGTGAAGAGTCTCTGGATGAAAAGTATGTGCAAGAAGGGTTTCTGGGTGAAGAGTCTCCGGGTGAAAAGTCTGTGCAAGAAGAGTTTTTGGGTGAAGAGTCTCTGGGTGAAAAGTATATGAGTGAAAAGTATGTGCAAGAAGAGTTTGTGGGTGAAGAGTCCCTGGGTGAAAAGTATATGGGTGAAAAGTATGTGCCAGAAGAGTTTCTGGGTGAAGAGTTTCTGGGTGCAGAGTCTCTGGGTGAAAAGTCTGTGCAAGAAGAGTTTCTGGGGGAAGAGTCTCTGGGTGAAAAGTATATGGGTGAAAAGTATGTGCAAGAAAAGTTTGGGTGGAAAGCCTGTGCAAGAAGAGTTTCTGGGTGAAGAGTCTCTGGGTGAAAAGTATATCGGTGAAAAGTATGTGCAAGATGAGTTTCTGGGTGAAGAGTCTCTGGGTGAAACATATATGGGTGAAAAGTCGGTGCAAGAAGAGTTTCTGAGTGAGTGAAGAGTCTCTGGGTGAAAAGTATGTGACAGTATTTCTGGGTGAAGAGTCTCTGGGTGAAAAGTGTATGGGTGAAAAGTATGTGTAATAAGAATTTCTGGGTGAAGAGTCTCTGGGTGAAACATATATGGGTGAAAAGTATATTGGGGAAAAGTCAGTGGGAGAGAAGTATATGGTTGATCCGTTTGTGGGTGAAGAGTCTCTGGGTGAAAAGTCTGTGCAAGAAGAGTTTCTGGGTGAAGAGTCTCTGGGTGAAAAGTCTGTGCAAGAAAAGTTTCTGGGTGAAGAGTCTCTGGGTGAAAAGTATATGGGTGAAAAGTATGTGCAAAAAGAGTTTCTGGGTGAAGAGTCTCTGGGTGAAGAGTCTCTGGGTGAAAAGTATATGGGGGAAAAGTATGTGCAAGAAGAGTTTCTGGGTAAAGAGTCTCTGGGTGAAAAGTCTGTGCAAGAAGAGTTTCTGGGTGAAGAGTCTCTGGGTGAAAAGTATATGCAAGAAGGGTTTCTGGGTGAAAAGTAT